TCAAACAAAGACACATCAAAGAAAGAAAACCTCCTTGATGAACACAGATGCAAAAATCCTTTTTTTCCTTCTCTTTTTGTTTTTCTTTTTGGTACTGGGAATTAACCCAGGGGTTCTTTACCACTGCGCTACATCCCATCTTTTTTTGTTTTTTATTTTGAGACAGGGTGTCACTAAGTTGCTTAGGACTAAATTGCTGAGGCTGGCCTTGAACTTGTGATCCTCCTGCCTCAGCCTCTCAAGTTGCTGAGATTACAGGTGTGTGCCCAACGCCTGGCAATGCAAAAATTCTTAATAAAATACTGGCAAGGGCTGGGGTTGTGGCTCAGTGGTAAAGCACTTGCCTAGCATGTGTGAGGCACTGGGTTTAATCCTCAGCACCATTAAATAAATAAATAAGCAAGCAAGCAAATAAATAAATAAATAAATAAATAAAAGTATTCAAAATAAAAACAAAAAAACCACAAACTGCCAAACCACATATAAAAACACATTACATGGGCTGGGGCTGGGGCTCGCCTGGCATGTGTGCGGCCCGGGTTCAATCCTCAGCACCACATACAAACAAAGATGTTATGTCTGCCGAAAACTAAAAAATAGATATTAAAATTCTCTCTCTCTCGATAAAAAAACCAAMCAAACAAACAAAAAAAACACATTACAAAGATAGTACACCATGATCAAGTGGATTTAATCCCAGGGATACAAGGTTGGTTCAACATATGGAAATCAAAAAATGTAATTCACTACATAAACAGACTTAAAAACAAGAATCAAATGATTATCTCAATAAATGCACAAAAAGCATTTGACAAAGTATAGCACCCATTCATGTTTAAAACACTAGAAAACATAGGAATAGAAGGAATAATATTGTAAAGGCTATATACAACAAACCCAAGGCCAATGTTATTCTGAATGGAGAAAAACTGAAAGCATTTCCTGTAAAAACAGGAACAAGACAGATGGCTACTTTCACCACTCCTATGCAACACAGTCCTTGAAATTCTAGCCAGAACAATTAGGCAAGAGAAGGAAATTAAAGGGATACAAATAGAAAAAGAAGAATTTGAATTATCTGTTTGCCATTCTATATTTAGAAGACCCAAAAAACTCCACCAAAAGACTTCTAGAACTCATAAATGAATTCAGCAAAGTGGCAGGATGCAAAATCAACGCCCATAAATGAACCATGTTCTTATACTCCAATGATGAATCTGCTGAAAAAGAAATCAGAAAAACTATCCCATTCATAATAGTCTCAAAAAAGAAAATGAAATACGTGAAAACCAATTTAACAAAAAAGATGAAGAATCTCTATAATGAAAACTATAGAACACTAGATAAAGAAATTAAAGATCTTAGAAGATAGAAAGACACCCCCCCCCCGCAATGTTCTTGGTTAGGCAGAATTAATATTGTCAAAATGGCTATACTATCAAAAGTGCTATACACATTTAATGCAATTCCCATCAAAATTCCAATGACATTTTTCATAGAAACAGAAAAATCAGTCATGAAATTCATTTGTAAAAATAAGAGACCCAGAAGAGCCAAAGAAATTCTTAGCAAGAAAAGTGAAGCAGGAGGCGTCACAATCCTGGACCTCAAATTATACTACAGAGCTATAGTAACAAAAACAGCATGGTACTGGCACCAAAACAGGCATGAAGACAAATGGAATAGAACAAAAGACAGAGACAAACCCACATAAATACAGGTATCTCATACTTGTCAAAGGTGCCAAAAAACATACACTGGAGAAAACACCCTTTTTAACAAATGGTGATGGAAAAACTGGAAATATGCAAAATACAATTAAACCCTTATATCTTACCCTGCACAAAACTCCACTCCAAGTGGATAAAAATGCTAGGAATTAGACCAAAAACCCTGCACCTGCTAGAAGAAAATGTAGGCCCAACACCCCAACATATCAGCTCAGGTACTGATTTCCTTAACAAGATTCCTATAGTGTAAGAAATAAAAGAAAAGATCAATAAATGGGATGGAATCAAATTAAAAAGCTTCTTCACAGCAAAAGGAACAATCAAGAACACGAGGACAGCTGGGTGTGATGGCCAATTCCTGTGATCCCAGCAGCTCAGGAGGCTGAAGCAGAAGTATCACAAGTTCAAAGCCAACCTCAGCAACTTACTGAGGCCCTAAGCAACTCAGTAAGACCCTGTGTCTAAATAAAATACAAAAAATGGGCTGAGGGTGTTGCTCAGTGGTTAAGTGCCCCTGAGTTCAATACCCAGGATCCCCGATACCCCACAAAAAAAGAACATGAGGAGAGAGCCTACAGAATGGGAGAAAATCTTTGCCACCTGCTCCTCAGGGCTTTAATATCTAGGATATACAAAGAACTCAAAGAACTTAACACCAAAAAAAAAAAATCAATAAATAGGCAAAGGAACTAAACCCTTCTCAAAAGAAGAAATGTGAATGGTCAACAAATATATGAAAAAATGTTCACTCTAGCAATTAGAGAAATGCAAATTAAAACTACACTGAGATTTCATCTCACTCCAGTCAGAATGGCAATTATCAAGAATACAAATAACAATAAGTGTTGACAAGGATGTAGGGAAAAAAGTACATTCATACATTGTTGGTGGGACTGTAAATTGGTGCAACCACTCTGGAAAGCAGTATGGAGATTCCTCAAAAAACAAGGAATGAAACTACCATTTGACCCAGTTATCCCACTCCTCAGTTTACATCCAAGGGATTTAAAATCAGTATTCTATAATTGCACAGCCACATACATGTTTCTAGCAGCACAATTCACAATACCTAAGCTACAGAGCCAATCTAGGTACCCTTCAAAAGATTAATGAATAAAGAAAATGTGATATATAYATACAYACACACACACACACACACACACATTGCAGTACTACTCAACCACAAAGAAGAATGAAAGTATGACATTTGCCAGTAAATGGATGGATCTGGAAACTATCCTGCTAAGTGAAACAAACCAGTCCCAAAAAGCCAATGGTCAAATGCTTTTTCTGATATGTGGAAGCTAATGTATAATAAATGGGGGGGGTGTTTAAAAATGAATAGAAGTTCAGTAGAGTAGACAAAGGGGAATGAAGGGAAGGGGGGAAGGATGGGAAAAGGAAAGACAGTAGAATGAATCTGACATATGTACATACATGAATATACCACAGTGAATCTCACAATTCTGTACATTCACAATACATTAATTGAAAAAAAAAAACTATGGGTAAATGACAGAAAAATTAGCAGAGAGAAGGGAAGAGGGAGTTGGAAAAGGGAGAGAAAGGGGAGGTAGCAGGAACTGAATTAAAACAAGATATAGTCCATGCTTTTATAATTCTGTCAAAATGGATTCTCCTGCCATGTATAACTAAAAAGAATTCCCCGCCAAAATTTAGTCATTTCAAATTAGAGGAGAGGGAAAGGCTTTCAAAAGATACCATAAAAAGACAGGGGTAGTGGCACACATCTACAATCCCAGCAACTGGGGAGGCTGAGGCAGGAGGATTACACCTCTGAGGCCAGCCTCTGCAACTAAGTGAGGCCCTAAGCATCTCAGCAAGACTCTGTCTCAAAAAAAAAAAAAAAAAAAAAAAAAAAAAAAAAAAAAAAAAAAAAAAAAAAAAAGTATGGAGATGTACCTTAGTAGTAAAGGGACCCTGGGTTCAATCTTTAGTATCAAAAAGTTAAAAAAAAAAAGGAAGGTGGAGGGGAACATATATTTTTTTGAAGGATATAAAGAACTATTAACCAGAGGAAAACCTGTGGATGTAGCTGAGTGATGAGCTCCCCTGGGTTCAAATAAATTTTTTTTTTTTTAGGACTGGAGAGTATAGTACCAAAGAGTGATAGGAATACTGTACCACTGAGCTATACCCCCACCCTTCTTTATTTTTATTTTGAGACATAGTATCACTAAATTGCTGAAGCTAGCCTCAGCCCTGCAATCCTCCTGCCTCAGTTTCCCCAGCTGCTGGGATTACAGGCATGCACCACCATACCTGGTCATTTCTCTTAAAATTTTTACTGAGATAGCAAATATATCACTCTCCCTAGTACTCTACAAGCCAGAAAGTTTTTAACTTGGCTTTTTCTGTATGAATGATGTATTTGTGTGTGTGTGTGTGTGTGTGTGTGGTGCTGGGGATTGAACCCAGGGCCTTGTGCATGAGAAGCAAGCACTCTACCAACTGAATGTCCCGAATAATGTATTTTTGCTTAACATTAAATTATAATTGCCTAGAAGGACAGAGCAGAAAAACAAATATCTTTCATATAGCAAAGTCCTTGAACTATCTCCTAGCCTCACTAGCAATTTTCCCAAGTACTGAAATCAGAAACTCACTTCTGTTATCCTTAGAGCAAATACAGGCTTCAGACAACACTGTTTCCTTATCTTAATAATTAATGTACACCAAAGAAATGAATTTAATAATTCATCTTAATCTGGATATAGTATCATATGCCTGTAATCCCAGCACCTCAGGAGGCTAAGGCAGAAAGATCATAAATTCAAGTACCCTCTGGGCAACTTAGCAAGACATGGTCTCAAAACAAAAAGGGCTGGGGAAATAGCCACATGCCTAGCATGCATGAAGCCCTAGGTTTAATCCCCAGAACTATAGGGGGAAAAAAGTTCATCTCTAAAAATTGAAAATGATAGCAAAGGACTGGGATTGTGGCTCAGTGGTGGAATGCTTGCCTAGCATGTGTGGGGCACTGGGTTCAATTCTCAACACCACATATAAATAAAATGAATAAAATAAAGGTCCATCAACAACTAAAAAAAAAATTAAAAAGAAAAAGAAAATGATAGCAAAGACAATTGCCTGGAAGATAAGGGAGCTCTATTGACAGGCCTAAAGCATTTCAATTTATCATAGTGAGGAATTTATAAATAATTTGTAGATTTATTCCATAATTCTGAGACTACTTCTTTGTCATTTATTTTAAAGGCTAAGTCACAAATTCAAAGAGTGACTACTCACCTCTGGAGATTTCGGCGTATTCTTGAATACAGCATAGGAAATAAGTGAACTTGAACCTATAATACTGAGAGACCCAGGAGATGATCATTAAAACTGGTCCTTCACTTTTGCTATTGATTTTTTTTCTGATAAAATTGATGAAAATTAAACTGCACTTGTGTTTTAAAAGTATGGAATGTTTCTCAAATTTACATGTCATCCTTGTTTAGGGGCTGTGCCAATCTTTTCTATCATTCCAATTTTTTTTTAATTGAACATGAACACATTACCTTTGTTTTACTAATTCATTTATTTTGTGTGGTATTGATGATCAAACCCAGTGCCACATGTGTGCAAGGCAAGTACACTACCACTGAGCCACAACCCCAGCCCCTCATTCCAATTTTTAATATGTGTGCTGACAAAGTGAGCACTTTGCTATTTATTGGTTTTGCAATCACTCCTATTGACCAGGTTGTCCACTGATTTCAGATGTTATCCCTCTATCTGCTTTTCTGTTGTTATTGTTATTGATGTTACATTTTATTAGTCAGAAAATATCAATGGAGTAAATAAAGAATATAATTTTTCACTAACTAAAGAGCAAATCCCCAGGGAGAAAATGCAGAAACTGCAGAATGCTCCAGTTTTGCTTACACTAGTTTATATAGTCCTACTATGTGAGATTAAATAAACATACCTCACAGTTGCCATAATAAATTGTATCCATTGTATTGCAGAAAAAACCTAAGTAGAAAAGAAAAAAATTAAGCCTTTTACATTTAATATTCAACCTAACTCCAATTTCACTGTTTATTAGCCACCTCCTCAACACAAATTCTTCTTCAAAGCCTAATCAAAACATACAAGTCTGAAAATGAATAAAAAAGACTAAAGAGGGCTGGAGCTGGGGCTAAGTGGTASAGCGCTCACCCAGCATTCTTGAGGCATTGACTGGGTTCGATTCTCAACACCACATGAAAAAATAAATAAAATAAAGTTATAAAAATAAACAAATAAAGATGTTGTGTCAATATACAATGAAGAGGGGCTGGGGATGTGGCTCAAGCGGTAGCGCGCTCGCCTAGTGTGCGTGCGGCCCGGGTTCGATCCTCAGCACCACATACAAACGAAGATGTTGTGTCCGCCGAGAACTAAGAAAAAATAAATAAATGTTAAAAATTCTCTCTCTCTGTCCCCCTCTCTCTCTCACTCTCTCTTTAAAAAAAAATATATACAATGAAGAAAGAATTTTTAAAAAGACTGAAAAGGCTCTAGGAAGAAAGAATTGTTCCATTTTTCCTTATTTACGCAGAAAAAATACATAAGTAAGTAGAAAATGACTAAATGAGCTGGGCATGGTGGTGCTTGCCTGTAACCCCAGTGGCTCAGGAGGCTGAAGCAGGAGGATCCCAAGTTCAAAGCCAGCCTCAGCAATGGTGAGGCTCTAAGCAACTCAGTGAGACCCTTTCTCTAAATGAAATATAAAAAAGGGCCAGGGATACAGCTCAGCGGTCATATGCCCCTGAGTTCAACCCCTGGTTCAAAAAAAAAAAAAAAAAAAGGCAATGAAAAATTGAGGGCTGGGATTGTGGCTCAGAGGTAGAGCACTCGCCTAGCATGTATGAGGCACTGGGTTCAATCCTCAGCACCACATAAAAATAAAACAAAGATTTTGTGTCCACTTATAACTAAAAAAATAAATATAAAAAAACTGAATGAGAAAACTAATAAAAGAAGAATGAGGGCTAGGGTTGTGGCTCAGCGGTAGAGTGCTTGCCTAATACACGTGAGGCCCTTGATTCCATGCTCAGCACCATATATAAATAAACAAAATAAAGGTATTGTGTTCACCTCTGTTAGGATGGCCTTAGGCCTGAGCCTAAGCAACTCCATTTTAAAAACTCTAGTTTGAAACCTGAAGTTTCACCAAGCCACCCAAAGAACCCTCCAATATGGCCTCAAACAAGTTACTTCCCTTCACCCTGATAAACAGATTGAAGCCCCTGGCAGCCTGTGCTTGTCTGATAAGAGGGAAAGGCAAGAAGATCAGGGTGGAATCAGATGTTTCTGACCCCAGGGTAAATGATGTCACTGAGAAATCTGGTGGTAGCTGATAAGGACTGAAAGGGGGGTCAAAACCCCCCAAATTTAGTATAAATAATACAACAAATAAACAGCAATTCAGCCAGCTGAAACAAGGATGCATTCAAGCTCGAGAGCCTGATGAGGACCTGACATCCCATCACTTGTCACCATTTCCTGAGCCTCTGTGTGATCCTCACCGCTCTCAAACTCTACCACCTCTCTGGACCTTGGTGAGAGCCACAACTTCTCCCTATGAACCTCTCCCTCAACTGATCAACCACTCCACAACAGGAAAAGCCTGCCTTGGTTCCGGACCTGGTGACCACAGTCTGAGTGTGCATCTGCTGGTCATAAAGCCTAAGGCTTAAGACTTTAGAACTTAGCACACAGAGGGAATGTCTGTCATTAGCCTATCAAGTGTGTTTGATTAAGTGTGTTTGCAGTGCTTAGAATTAATCTAGAATTGTTTGCTGTAAATTGATTATGTCTATTGCAGTGCCTAGCATTAAGGGATTGTCGTTTTCTTGATTAAGAACCTATAGAGTGAAGCTGTATTGAGTAATTTGAGTGAATAAAGCATTGAAAGGGGCAGAAGCACATGGACATTCTTTATTTCTCCCCTAGACTGCATAAGTTGTAATTTGCCCCCTCGTGACAACCTACAACTAAAAAAATAAAAAAAAAAAAATTAAAGAAAAAAAAGAATAAAATAGAGAGGAGGTAGAAAAAGTTACATTTCAAAAGAGAAAGGACAGACCTTTAATAAAGAAAAAAAATAAAGTTCACTAAAAGAAAGAATAATAAATGACAGAGAAACAAAGAAAATGGAGACACTGTGAGTGAAAAATACAGAGCAGAAAGAAAAGGGAGGGGTCAAAAAAGACAAGAGGGGCAACTTCTGACCTTACCAAATCCCACTTGTCCTCCAGGGTGCTAACCTCCAGTAACAAGGCCATAAGAACTTTAGTCCCAGCTACTCTTATGCAGTGATCCTTCTCAGTCAGGTTGCAATTCCCAAAGAAATGAACAAAAGCCACACCCCTGTCCCAGCCGGGCTCCTCCTTACCTAGTCATGCACTGTACCTTGAGGGCAGCCAGCAAGGTGACAACAAGTGGAGAAAAGTCAGCCTGAAAGGCCAAAAATAGAAAGAGCAGGTGACAAGGAAACATAGTTTTAAGAAGCATAAAGAACTGTAGAAGGGGTAAGTGGTAGGAGTTATTATTTATTTTATTAAAAGAAGCAGARTGAATCAGGGTGAAAAGATAAATAGAGCTGTAAGAAGGAAATTAAATAGGAAAAAAAAAGAAAGAAAGAGTAGAAGGGAGGTCTGCTTAAAACTTGCCCACTTATAGACAAGTCTTTGTGAGAAAGAGAAATTGCATAAAGTTTTAGTAATACCTGTGTAAAGTTAGGAAGATAGGAGGTTATTAATGTTTGTCATATTTGATACTAACATCTTAAATATACTAAACCCCAAATTTCCACCAGAAATATAATTGTATTATTACTCTATTCATTGAATGTACTTCATTGATGTTTAAAATATTAATGTCCTACAAAGCAATGTCACAGAAGATACAAAGATAAACAAGAGAAAGACCTAGCCTTCTAGGAGCTTATGATACACTAGGAAAAATGGCTTGAAGACCTAAAACTCAAATGATTTGCATATAGCAATAATATACACAGAATGGCATTTGAACATGGAAGGTCCAATAAAATTCTAACAAGCAAAGATTGAGGTAGAGGACACAGGAAAAACACTGATGTAGCCATTTATCTTTAACCATCTATGTGTATATTCTACAGATGTAAATTTTCTTTCTTTTTCCATTATTTTTTTKGGGAGTTGGGGAATGGTTCTGGGATTCAAATCCAGGGCCTTGTAAATGCTAAGTACATACTCTACCACTGAGATACACCCCTGGGCCCCAAATATTTCTTTTTTTATTAATTTTTTTTAGTTGTAGACAGACACAATACCTTTATTTATTTGTTTTTATGTGGTACTGAGGATTGAACCCAGCGCTTCACACATGCTAGGCAAACACTCTACCAACTAAGCTATAACCCCAGCCCCCAAATATTTATTAATAACATAAATTAGATCTTTTGTATGGCTGGAGTAATTCAAATATTTATGCATATTAGGTTAAGATTATAGTATAGGGTGCAGTGGCAAACACCTGTAATCACAGTGGCTCAAGAGGCTGAAGCAGGAGGATCTGAGTTTAAAGCCAGCTCCAGAAATTTAGTGAGGCCCTCAGCAACTTGGTGAGACCTTATGTCAAAATAAGAAAATAAAATGGGCTGGGGATGTGGCTCCATGGTTGAGTGCCCTTGGGTTTAATTCCTGGTACCAAAAAAAGAAAAAAAAAAAGTATAGTATGGAATGGAAGACTAGACATTGTTAAGTGGAAAGTGTTAATAACTTTGCTTAAATTATTAGATAAATAAACATACTGACTTCTGGACTAGAAATTTCCAGCAAAAGGTCTTAGGGAGTGTTTTAAGGTCTCCAGTCATATATCTATCTAATAAGGGTGAGGAGACTAATGACAGTCTCAACAACCAAGTGATAAGAAAATGATTTTGGACAAAAGACTCTTGTCTCAGTCAAGAACAAACCTCTAATTGTTCAGAGACTAGTTGTGACAAATTAGTCTGCAGTTATTGATGACAATCAATCTCAGAGAATTTTTCTTTTTGGTATCTCTTATAAAATGTCTATGACACCACTATACCTGGTTTACATACTTTATTTTTACTGCACTTTAAAATCTATAGAAAAATTGGCTGGATAGTACAGAATATTAGTTCTTTAAATATTTCAAGTTTCCTATCCTAGAATCTTTCTATAGGCTGTTCTCCTTCCTAAATTGATTCATAAAAATCCAAATTTAAAGCTGGATGTGGTTTGCACACACCTGTTACCGAAGYTATTTGAGAGGCTTAAGGCAGGAGGATCACAAATTTGAGGCCTGCTTGGGCAACTCAGTGAGACTTTGTCTCAAAATAAAATAATATACAATAAACGGCTAGAGGTATAACTCAGTGGGAAAGTACCTAGCAAGTGAAAATCCCTAGTACTAAAAGAAAATAAAATTTAGCAAAAAAATTAAATTCTCCAAAAAATAAAATTTTAGAACTTTTTTTTCAATTTTACATTTATTTACATAATTATTTAATGACTTGTCTCTTCACCTGAGTACAAATCCTTAAGGGTTGAATCTAATTTATTGTTTCTCAGCTCAACTTAGACATATTCTTTTGTAGTATTTTCCATGAACTCCAATCCAAATTAATCTTCCTATCACATTCTTTCACATACCCTTCCCTTTCCTTTATTATAAATTATTGTAATTTATAATGATACATCTGTTTGTATGATTATTTTAATGTTGGTGTCCTCTGTTAAACAGTAAGCTCCAAGAGGGCAGGGAGGATATCCTATTTTGCTCACCAGTGTAATCCTTACCCACAAGAGGATATAACACATGAAAGATATTGAGTAAATATTTGTTAAATGTTGAAATAATTCTTACAGGAGCATAGTAACTGGAGAAAATCAAAATATAAAAAGGGTTGGGAATATGGCTCAGTAGTTAAGACCCCTGGGTTCAATCCCTCGTACCACACACACACACACACACACACACAAAAAAAAAAAAAAAAAAAAAACCCGAATACAATTATAATTCGTCAACTTGGGCCAAGGTAATCTAGAGTTGTCATGGCAGTGGGTATTGGAAAATCTGATGTCAGTCAAAATCAAGAGGTAGACCTGAGTGGGACTCGCTGGAAACTTCTCTGTGCAGGAGAGGCACATGGTCCCTCTCCTCTCTGATAGGATCCACTATCTCCCTTGAGAGTGTCCCCTTTCTCTTTTCCTATCCCTTCACAATAAACTCAGGCCTGTTACTCTGAGTGACATGTCTCAAATATTTCTAACTTGATCGCAAGAACTGGTGCTTTACAGGAGGAGTCTTCACACTGCTTCAGTTTTCCAACTCCATGACACTACTACATGAAGCCTTCCTATTTTATTAACATGTATTAATTGTACATTTTAATGGGATTCACCATGATACTTCCATACATGCAAACAGCATTTAATGATCATATCTAAGCACCCTTCTTCCTCCTTTACCTCCCTCCCTAACACCTTTCCCAGTCCCTAATAATCACTATTCACTTTTTTTTTTAAAGAGAGAGTGAGAGAGAGAGAGAGAGAGAGAGAGAGAGAGAGAGAATTTTTTTTAATATTTATTTTTTAGTTCTCGGCGGACACAACATCTCTGTTGGTATGTGGTGCTGAGGATCGAACCCGGGCCGCACGCATGCCAGACGAGCGCGCTACTACCTGAGCCACATTCCCAGCCCCACTATTCACTTTAAACAACTTAAGTTCATAGCAGGTTTCTCCTCTTGTAATTTCTATCATTTGTCTTGGTAGCTCACTCTATTTACTACTTCAGTAGGCAAACTCAAAGTAGATTTTTCTGAACTTCTCCTAAACACATATACATATATAATGGATTTTTTCTATCAAAACTTTATATCAATCAAACTTGTTGTATAAGATTACTTTGTTATCTCTGATGACTATTTTATACACACATATTTACTGGATAAATACAATTGTTAATTATGTTGCTAAGCTCCTTATAATGCATCATATCATTTATTCTTTTATCCTAAATTTGTTCATCATAGCCTTGTGAATTCTATCCTATGAGCATTTCTTAATTCCATCCTTACTTCTTCAACCCTACTTTTTTTTCCCCTTCTTTTTGGTGCTGGGGATCGAACCCAGGTCCTGGAGTATAATGAGCATTCACTCTACTTCTGAGCTACATCACCAACCCCAAACCTACTGTTAGGCCTTATTGTTAGACCTTATTTTCTCCCTGCTAGACTACTGCAACAGAATCTTAACTGGCCTCCCTACCTACAACACTTTCTTTCTTTTTAAATCTTTATTTATTTATTTATTTTTAAGCAGCAAAGAGGTGTTTATTTCGAGCTAGCTCGGTCCTCCGCAGGCATACAGCAACTTGTGACACTGAGAGGCTACTCTTTATTTTTATTTGTTTATTTTTATGTGGTGCTGGGGATCAAACCCAGGGTCTCACATCAAGGCAAGCACTCTACCACTGACCTACAATCCCAGCCCCAGTACTCTTATTTCAATCCTTTTCCTTGTTCCTGAGTGATGTTTTTAAAAACAAATCCGACAATACTCTCCAGGTCTTAGCTTCTGGTGGTTCCAAACCGCTTTACAATCTGCTCCAGTTCATCTTTATACAGATTCATCTAGTTCCCCGACATGTCCTGGGCATGCTTTTTTCCCTTTTCTAGAAATATTCTGTTTTTCTTTGTCCCATGAATTCCCCCATGTCTTTTAAGATCCAGCATAGAAGTCATTTCCTGCCTACAACATTCCCACAGTTCTAAGCAGGATTGTAAATTAGGATCTTTAAGATGGACAGTATTCCTATAAATCAGGATCTTTAAGACACAAAGATTAAGAAAAATAAGATTTTAATACTCACACGTTCTGGGGAATACACCACAGGCCTGGAGACCACATACACCATGGTCAGGAAATATGCAGGGAGAGAGGGTGCCGTCTGTGGATTAATACCATTTGCGGGGCCAAGGTATCCAAACAGGTTTCCTGTGGAGAGTTTTAAATGGTGAGTTTAAAGCAAGAAGACATCAGTTTCAGGTTACACGTGACCAAAAAATGGTCACTATGCCATATCTGCACAGGGCATACTGGGTGTGAAGGTGAGCAAGGCCTGACAAGTGGGCTACCTCCAGTTGTCCCCTTGGGAGGCAGACAGCAGAAGACAGAGATGTTTGCATCGACCACACTGAGAACTGAGAGGAGGTGTAGAAATGGAAAGTGTCACAAGTGACTGACCTCCGCTTCTGGGACCAGAAAACGACATTCACGTTCAACATGGATGCCCAGATAACATAAAATGATGAGACCTCGCTACACTGTCTCACTGTGCTTTCTCAATTATGATAGTCTTACTTCGTGCCAAGGACCAGGTACTGGTTATATTATGATTCCTCAGCACACAACCCTGTCTCTTCATCTCTGCGCTGAATTCCATGGGCAAAACCAGAACCGGGCATAACTGCAGTGAGAAACTAGGTGGACTGCAAAATTTTTCAACCTGGAGCCCAGGACATAGATGGAGAGATATTTGTCAAACAGTAAAGCCTGTTTGACAGGACTCCAGCGCCTGCCAGCCCGGCTCAACCCGGCTCAACCCGGCCTGGGTGGACTAGCGCTGACGGTGGCCAGCAGCGCGTAGGCCCAGATAAACAAACGGCTGTCTGACCGCCTGGCTCGCCAACAGGGGACGGTAGCGGGTCCTAACCGACTTCCTGACGGACCTAAAATAGCAAGATATAATGGCTGGCCTTGTCTTCGAAGGGAAGTTACGACCGCAAAGAAATTGCGGAAACTTCGTCACGCACGCGCTTCGCGCCTCTGCCTACGCGAAGAGTCGTTCCGCGGTGGGCCTCGCAGAGTGCGCGTGCGCGGCGGTCCCAATTTTCCCGCACCTTCTCTCACGTGACTTCACTTTCCAGGGGCCGGCGCAAGCTTCGCCGAGTGCGCGTGCGCGGCGGTCCCCCCTTTTTTTTTTTTTTTTTTTTGCTTTCCCTCCCCTACAACACGTATCCTCACTAGACTCCGCCCCTCGGACGACCCCTTCCTCTCGCCGTAGGCCGGCGTGACCCGCCCCGAGTGTCCTCTTGCGCGMGCTCGGGCCGGCCTTCCAAGTCACGTGGCTTCTGTAGTTTTCCCCACCCAGCTCTTCAACCTCTGACGCTCACAATCCGGCGTTATGGCTGCCGCCATACCCTGTGCAGCTTCTCTCTCCCCGCTTCTTCCCTTTCTCCTGAGCCTCCTGCTCCTCTCCACTCCGCACAGCACCAGCGGCCTGCACACTAAAGGCGCCCTTCCCCTGGATACARTCACTTTCTACAAGGTAACGGGGTCGGGGGATTTTGCGCACAGGTGCAGCCAGAGTGCCCAAGGGAGCGCGAGCCGGTGGGGAACGTTGAGCACCGAAGGCTGGCGGAAAGCGGTCTTGTAGCAACGATCCGAGGTCTTCCTACCATGCTATGGCCTGGTGGAGTCTTGGACGGGCATACCATGACCACCGGCACACACGCCCCGGGGTCCCGGCTCACCCTTGCCTTTGCATCATTTATATTTGTTTCTGCGTTTGCAAAAGAGCTGCAAAGATGCAGCCGAGGGAACGAGATGCTCCTTTAGGGAGAGAGGACTGTGCCAGGCGAGATCCAACCCTCGAGTCCTAAGTAGGAGATGAGGGCGGGGCGAAGTTGGTGCTACCTGGTTTCCAACTGGGGGTGGGGGTGGTAGGAAGAACTCGGTACTTTAGTATGCGTATCTGTGCCCCTCCTGAGTATGAATTGTTGGCTTGGCAATATGCAAAGTATGTTCAGATATTACGCCTCTCCCAGAAAAGTGCTGACGTTAAGACTAAGCTACACGCTGGAATTGTAGCTCAGTGGGAGAACGCTTGCCTAGTACGTTTGAGGTACTAAGTTGGATCTTCAGCACCACATAAAAATAAATGAAGGCATTGTGTTCATCTACAACGAAAACATAAATAAATAAAAACGAATACGCTACAGTTTAGCCAAACTATAGGAAATATCTCCGGAAGAAAAATGAATAAAATCGGGTCAAAGCATGGAAGAATTTGCCACTACCCCTCCCTGCCACCCTTTACAAAATGTGGATCCTGACCTAGGTAAATGGACCATGGAAACATTGAAGGCTTAGTGCAACACCACAGTCCCACTCTCCTTCTCCTGTACCTGTCTTTTAACTTCTATGGCAAGCTAAATGTTGAGAGAGAGGCAGTCGTCTTATTTTCTTGTTTTGTACCCTTGGCAGGGAAGTGAAACCAAGAAATGGAACTCTAAATGTGTCTGTATCAAGTGGTTGAACTTGTCTGTTTTTTTTTTTTTCCCTTCTTCTTTTGTAGTTATGGATGGACAGCATGTTTTTGTTTATTTATTTTTTTTGGTGCTAAGGATCAAACCCAGTGCCCAACAGGTGCCAAGCAACCAGGGGCTCCACCATTGAGCTAAGCCTCAGCCCCTTCTGTTTTCAAAAGGGTTGAGAGGACCTAGAGTGGACTTCACACTTGTAGCTCATTGAAGGCAAAGTTCCAAGAATTTAAAAGCATTGGTATGGCTGGTTGGTTGGTTGTGGGCACCCCACAGCACCTATGCTCTTTGGTCCTTTACTGGCAAAGTGATGCACCTACCTCTCCCCACTACATGGAAGTTGGGTTACATCACAGATCTAGTGTGACTCAGAGCAGCTTTGTACCATAAGGTTAATAGTGTCTCCTTATTGAGTGCTGTGCCACCTTTATCATTACCACCCTGGTCTAGGCTGTTCTTGGGTACACTTCCTCCTGTCCTCCATGCTTCCACCTTGAGACACCACACTAGGAGATCTGTTCTTGCTTCCCTTTCCTATTTCCTAACAATTTTCCCTGGTCCTCTGTGCTCCAACCKTACAGGCCTGCCTTCTATCCCTTGAATATTCCTAGCTCATCACTGCTTTCATGTATTTGAGGTTTCCTTGTGACTGGAGTAGTTTTTGCCCAATCTTTGAAAGACATGCTCCTTATTGTTTAGGCTTAAATGTTACCTCCTCAGAACCCTTCCTTGATTTCTCCCACCCCCAGGCTTAAGTACCAGTCATATTCCCGTTATTGTTTTTCTGAAGTGCACTCATTGCTGATTTTATTCCTTGTCAGTTTTACCATCTGTCTCTCACATCATATTCTTTGTTTCCAATTATCTGCACAGCATAGCAGGTTATATATTACATAGAAGGTGCTTAATAAATAATTGATTGCATGAATAAATGTTTTCTCCAGTCTCTTTCCAACTCTCACCCTCTTCCATCACCGCTGGATACAATGGGAATTTCTTAGTGTTTTTTTTCCAGCAACCTTGTTCAACATGCTATGCTTTTTAGTGATTTCTAACATTTTTATTCCTTTCTCTTCGCCATCACTAGAATGCTAACTTCATTTGATAAAAGACCCACTCCGTTTTGTTCTTTGTAGCGTTCACTTAGAATAGTGCGTAGTTCGTGATGGGCCCTTAGCAATTTTTAATTCAATGAACACGAATGAATAAAGAATTTATCTCTAATTTGAAGAAGCAAGTTGTCTGACTATGGGTACAGTAGAACTGATCCCCAGAGTTCTAAAGTAATTAACATATACAGACTGCATAAAATAACAAACAATTCTTTATGCAAATATTTGCCATTCAAAACCATTCCATCTTACCAAGTAGCCAAGAATGGTGAAAGTAAAAGTCCTGAATTCTGTTTCAATATTAAACCACTGTATAATTATTAACGTATTACATAATACAAGTGTAAGTTCCTTGAAGATAGGGATTGTATGTCATGCTTTTAACCCCTCCACCCCCCACCCCCCTACCCCGGCCTTGAACATGTAGCATCTGCTATTAAAGTTCTGTTCATTTAACATGTTTTAAAAGCATTTGCTACATGCAGGTATGTGGGATCTTAGGGTCAGGCAAGTTCCTTATTTTCATTAATATACAGTCTACCGGAGAGAACAGAAAACAAGCAAAGAACAATTTTAGAGAATAGTCAATGTATGAAGAAATGCATCAGAGTATCGTAGGAATGAAGCAATCTTAGATGGTTGAGGAGTCCTCTTCATTATTAATGAAGGGACCTTTTGAATTGAACCTTCAATGTAAAGAGACAAGCTGAGCCAGGGAAAGGGTTCCAGCCAGGAAACAGCAAATACAAAGGCTGCAAGAGGGGGCAAGTGTAGTGTGTTGAACTGAAACAAGGCCACTTGGACCGGAGGGATGTGATCTGATTTATATTTTAAATCTTCCTTGTCTTTAGGCCCTCAGAGCTCAGACTTTATGGCGTCAGTGGCCACTTAAAGATGACCTGTTCTGATGGTTTCTCCTCCTTTATGTCCCTAGGCACTGTTAAATATTCTTAAAAACCTAAAGTCAAGTGGACATCAGTACACAGTAAGGGACACAGACAAGCAAAAACATTTGAGTTCTCTGATGCATCTGGAATTTTGTGAACTTGATAGAATTATGAACAGTGATTTCCTGTGATGAAAATCTTGAGAATAGAGATCACTGAATTAGAAAAGCAAAGGGGTGTGAGAGGAGGGGAAGGCAACATTACTGACCAAAGTCAGCTTATTTATTGGTACATTGGAAGAAACCATCAAAAGGAAGCCCTTGGCTTAACTATATGACCCCTACAGTTCCACTTCTAGGTGAATCCAAAAGAATTTAATAATAAGTGTTCAAACAAAAACATATACACATCTTCAGACCATTCACAGTAATATCCAAAAGGTAGAAACAACCCAAACATCCTTCAAAGAATAGTTTATTTGGCCAGAAATATGAATAAAGCACTGATCACATGCTACCACATGGAAAACCATAAGAACATTATGCTGAGGCAAGTAAGTCAGACATAAGAGACTATGAATTTTATTATTCCATCAAATTAGACAAATCCAGGGAGACAGCTGGGGTAAGGAAGAAGATGGGGAGGGACATCTTAATGGATACAGGGTTTCCTTTGCGGGTGATGAAAATGTTCTGGAACTAGGTAGTCATGGTGGTTACATATTATTATTAGTACACTAAGTCCCACTGGATTGTACACTTTAAAATGATGAGTTTTATTTGCTTTTAAAATTAAAATCTTGTTCTTCACAGTTTAAGAACCAGAGATCTAGCCAAAGCATCCTTTGTGGTGTCAACTCCTTTTTAGATTTTTTTTTTAGGGGGGGGGGTCAGATTTCTGGTTCAGTGTTAAGAAAGGCTTCCTCAGATGATGGGCATGATAGGATATGATGATGAATTGCATGCTAAGGGTCTCTTTGGCCTACTGAAAGGAACACTGGAGGAGGGAGGGCTTAGCTTTATTCTAGATTGAGTCATGTTTCTCTTATTAATGTGAACACATACCTAATGAGATGCCCAGTACATAGCAGGCATGTTTAGTGAATGTTGGGGGCAATAAACAAACATTACATTGTTAAGAGCTGGTATTGGTATCCTTTGTGGGCTTGTTTCCACTATTTTTAAAACAGGGGCCCCTTGGGAAGGGGAATTCACCCCAAATGTCCCTGGAACACCCCACTCGCTCAGCTCTATGCGCCCTCAGGTCATTCCCAAAAGCAAGTTTGTCTTGGTGAAGTTTGACACCCAGTACCCCTACGGTGAGAAGCAGGATGAGTTCAAGCGTCTGGCTGAAAACTCGGCTTCCAGCGATGATCTCTTGGTGGCAGAGGTGGGGATCTCAGGTATGTACAAGTCCAAGACAACTGGGAAGGGCTGAGGGGGAGGAAGTTAGCTATTATTGCCCTATTTGGAGGGGGAATACTTGGTGCCCTTTTACCTAAACTACACACAAAGGATAAATGGGTTTTATTCTTGAGGAATCTGGTACTCATAGCAGGCTTGGTCTAAGATGATTTCTGGAACCTGGGAACCTCATGTCAGGCTTGAAGTTGCCTGAAGAGAAGGGACCCCCTCTTCCCTTACCCTTCACCCATCTGACATTCCACTTTGAGAACTTTGAGCTTTCCTTGCAGGCGGTGGTCAGGGGTTCCATGCCTTCTAGGGAACAGCATGGTCAGATCTTTTCTGCCTTCATTTAATCTTTTTACCAAAGCTGTTGGGTTTTGGCTTTAGCTCAGATACACTACTGGTGCCACCACTAATCCAAGGGTAACTCTTAACCACAGTGTCAACATAATAATAATACRTCGCCAGTGTTTATTGGTTTGCGGCCTGTAAAAATCTACACAGACATTAAAGTTTTAAGCTCCACTTGAGTCCTGCTTGAAAAGCAAGAGGTACTGTCTCCATATTATACTTAAAAAACCAAAGCTCAGAGCTTACATGACTTTCTAGGCGATGGGGTATGGAGTGGCTGAGCCAGAATTCCACCTAAGTACCTAAGTATTTGGCTTAAGTACATCTAAGTGCAGCATACTCTGAGCTAGGATGCCTCCATTCCCCAGTGAACTGGGAATTTGATGTCAGTAGAGATAGCTGGCTCACCTGTCCTGAGGAGTCGGTCAGTTTTGAATCAACTTCAAATCAGTTCCCTTGGGGTTTTTTGAATAATAGCATCGACAATGACTTGCATTCATCATGCTTTTCAGACCACTGTGCTAAAGGTTTTACATGTATTTTACCCTTGTGACTTGTGGTACTATTACCCCCAATTTTTCAAGTTAAGTTGATGCTCAGGGAACCTCACTCAAGTAAATAGAGCTGTTAACTAGGATTGGCACTCCAGGCTGTTAACCCAGAAATAGTTGCTCTCAGCCATTTCTTCTTGCCAAGGGTCAAAAATCAGTTGTCACAATCAGCCCTTGGGACTACTACTACTTTTTAGGAAGAATGTTGCAGATACTGCTGGCAGCTACTGCAGAGTAAGCACTGAACTCTGATTGGATCTCATACACATAGTGCCTCATTGAACCTCCCAGCAGCCCTCATGTAGCAGGGACTGCTTTCATCACCTACCACACACACACCTCTTTCTCGCTCAACTCCAGCCAACCTGACCTTGATAATTTTTTTTTCTTAACAGTACTGGGGCTGGGCATGGAACTCAGGATCTTGCACATACTAGACAAGTGTGCTACCCACTTGGCTACACCCAAGTCCTTGGCCTTAAATATTCTCAGCTCAGTCYTTGCACAGAGCTTTTGTCTTGTGCATAGTTCTTGAACTTGAGGTACTTTCTTCCTGAAGCACTCTTCCCAGATATTTATGTGGCTGGCTCCATGCCACTTAGGCCCCTCAGCTTATGTCATCTCCACAGGGTAATCCTCACCGACAACCTGAAGTGGGCTTTCTTACCCACTCTGTCATATCACACTGTTTATTTTCATCAATGGAACTAATCATTTATGTTCACTTGTATACTATCGTCCTTCTTGCCGTTAGAATATAAACTTCTTGCCAGGTGTGGTGACACACACCTATAATCCCAGCAATATAGGAGGCTGAGGCAGGAAAATGGCAAGTTTGAGGCCAGCATCAACAAGCAAGGCCCTAAACAACTTAGCAAGACCCTGTCTCAGAGTAAAATAGGAGTGTAGCTCAGTGGTTAAGCACACCTGGGCTCAAATCCCAGTAACAACCCATTCCCACCCCCAGAAAAAATTAAAGCCCCTTGAGGTCTGAGAACTTGATACCGTGAATCACAATTAGGTTCTTAGCACCTCAAACAGCATCACGTAGTAGACACAAAGAATTTTCAAATGAAGACAGTTCAGAGCAATTAAATGATTTGACAGCAGCCACGTGGCTAGGAAATGGCAGAGGAAGAATTCAAACCAAGGTCAATATAGATAAACATCACTTTGAACCATTACATAGCCAAGATGATTCTTCTTCTCCACTCAGGCCCTATAGTGATATCCTGCACTGAGTTGTTGTCTTATTCATCTCTGGTTTCTGTTCACAGATTATGGTGACAAGCTAAACATGGAACTGGGTGAGAAATACAAGCTGGACAAAGAGAACTACCCAGTCTTCTTCCTCTTCCGAGACGGGGACTTTGAGAACCCGGTCCCATATAGTGGGGTAGTTAAGGTTGGAGCCATCCAGCGCTGGCTAAAGGGACAAGGAGTCTACCTGGGTATGCCTGGCTGCCTGCCTGTGTATGACGCCCTGGCAGGGGAATTCATCAGGGCCTCTAGTGTAGAGGCCCGTAAGGCCCTCTTGAAGCAGGGGCAGGACAACCTCTTGAGTGTGAAGGAGACTGAAAAGAAGTGGGCCGAGCAGTATCTGAAGGTCATGGGGAAGGTCTTAGATCAAGGTGAGGACTTCCCAGCATCAGAGATGACCCGGATCACCAAGCTGATTGAGAAGAACAAGATGAGTGATGGGAAGAAGGAGGAGCTCCAGAAGAGCTTAAACATCCTGACTGCCTTCCAGAAGAAGGAGTTTGAGAAGGAGGAGCTGTGAAAAGGCATTAGGGTTTCCAGGGTTTGCTGGGGGTGGGAAGGGGAGAGTTACCCTCTGGCCATGAAACCCTTGTAAAGAGGGTGTTGGAAATCTGAGCCCTGACTATGCCTGGACATGGATGCTGATGTGCCCATGCTTGGGAAGTCTCTAGAGCCAGCCTGGGGATAGCTGGAACGTTTACTTGGCTAATGAAGTGCCCCCTCAGAAGGAACTGGTGCTATAAAGGAGGGTACYGCCCAGGTCCTTGACAAGTGTAATTCTGGCCCAATTAAAGTTCAGTGTTTTGATTAAGTGGACCTGAAGCCATTCAGTTTGTTTTTTCACATTATATTCTGGTCTATAACTTGCTTGCTTCTGCTTCTCAATTCTTTTTTGAATCTAAGCTGGTATGGACTCCACTCTACCAGGGAAACAGATTATCGTGATAAAACTGATCCCAGCTTAAGGTAAAAGCTTTATTTTTCACTGATGTCCAGGCTATTATGAATTAACTGGATAATGAAATGTGTCACCCATGTTCTTAGTCCTTACAACTCAACAGTAGCACCATTTAATCAACATTGAACAGTGATGCTCTGTGAGATGTATAGCAAATTCTTAATTTTATTGACAGAGTTTTTAGTTTAGAAAACAAAATGATAGTCCTGTTTGAAAGTTTTAAAAATTGTTTTCATGCTCAGTCACTTTGTCAGTTACTCAGTAAATACCAACTTTTAGAGTAAGTACACAAATGACAGACAAGGAAGACTATAAAACCCAAAAGCATCCTCAGGCCCCGAATGTGGCCTAATCTTGATTGTTGGTATGCCATTGGGTGGGTTCAGGCTAGCTATTTATAAAGCCAGAGTGAACTAGATAATCATATATCAGAGGGCTTTTGTACTTAGCATCTAATAAATTAATATTATGACTGAAGGCTACACGGAGTGGCTTCCTAGAATCAAACTGAATCAATCTGAAGCAGACACTATATCTAACTTGAAGAATTTTGTTTTATAGAAACTTGTAAATTTCCTAAATGGTGCCAAAAATGATTTTAATTGTAAAATAGTTCTTGGTAATTGATGCCACAAAAAGTACTGGTGTGATCACATTAGGAGAGATTATTCATACAGAACTAAGAAACTGGGAATTTGTGGCCATCAAGAATAAGAATGAGATGGTATGGAGAATAGCTTTTAGCTTATTTATTGGGGCCCCATGTTTCCTGGGCTATAATGTGGACACTGTAGGTTGCAGAAAAGCTCTGTCCCTCAAGCAAACTGCAGTAAGAATTCCACAATTTGTATGAACTTTCGACTCATGGTAGCTTACCCTGCAATCTTAACTGAAATTTGTACCTGCATTAAGGCTATAGCATCCAAAAACAAGGGGAATAATAAAAAAAATATAAATCCAAGCCAAACTTTTAGGAAAAGCAAAGGATGGCAGTTAGTTAGGTACAGGCACATACCTGCTTTTAGTTAAAGGAAAAGAGAACGCTGGTAGGGAGTTAAGTTATAACTGAAAAAACAGGCCCAAACTGACCCTTCAGAGATACATAAAATGATTTTTTTGTCACAGAACAGAAAGGAAACTCAGGAAAAATAGCTAGTCAATCTGCCCAAATAAAATTTGAATTTCAGTGTCTGGATTCAAGTACCCTTGGGTCATCAACCTGCCTGAAATTCTCCAGTAACCTTCCATTACATTTATTCTAAGTTTCAGTCCTTCCCCTGGCTTTAGGTCCTGACTTATCTGGTCTAGCACTCTATCCAAATGCTGACCCCTTTCCACTCCTTTCACTAAGTTGCTGGAACATGCTAAGCAGTTCCCTTCCTTGGGGCCTTTCCAACTGTGTTCCTTTTTCTATGACTGACAAACATTCACCATTCACGTCCAATGTTACAGAGATCCTCTCATGACCCAATCCGAAGTGACTCAACACTATCACATACCCTGATTTATATTAAACAGGACTTTGCTACACAACTATTTATGGCCTTTCCCCACACCAACAACTAATAAGTAGGATAGAGAGTTTCATTTTCCCTTAAATAAGCAGAGCCTGAAAGTTATGAATCTTGATGCATTGTCAGTAAGTATTCAGTAATCAAGTATGGAAGGTACTGCTTTTAAGCCAAAAGAAATGGTGGCCTTAGGAAAAAAAAATAATTTTCAAATAATAAAATTTTGCTGGGTATATAGCTCTTTAATACAAAATTGAGATGAGTTATACCATTTAGAAGGTTGTAGCTTCTAAGAAGCTGAACAAAAATGAACCAGGCAGAAATGCCAACTTAAAATGAAAATTTTATATAAATTAACCCATCGAGTTTAGATTTGCTATGTTTCACTTAATTCTCAATAAGGAAGAATATGGACTTCCCATATTAATAAATCACATCAAATAAGCAGGAAGAGTTTCAATAACAAGCCTATAGATACACTGAAACCCCCTTTTATATTAAAAGTTAAAATGAAAGACAAATCCAGATTGAACATAGTGATTGCAAAATATAATGCAATTTTGAACAATTAAAATTATGAAAATATACAAAATTGATGGGCAACACAACTAGGCATTTGTTTTCTATTATGTAGAGAACACTAAAAATTTCTCTACCTTTTATCCATCAAGTAAATGACTTAAACCAAATGTTTACATTTGAGAGTCTTTAACTCAGGATCTCAGTAGTATAAAAGGCAATAATTTTTTAGTCTGTAAACAGTAGTCGTTTTTTTTTTTCTCCTTTCCTTTTTTTTAATATCAATTTACCACAGAAAAACTAAACAAAAAAACCATATAAACCAAAACAGCAGCAGCAGCGGGTTATTTGGGAAATCTCTTCAAATATCAATGACATACAATTGCTGGGAGAGGGTGCTTTTTACTCATGTAAATATATATATGTATGTGTGTGTGTATTTCATATATATATTAAACTGTACACAATTTATAGTGCACGACAGTTTCCAAAGGAACAGATTGATAAAAGATATTGGCCATTTCTGCATAATTTCATTCTTTTTACAGTAATCTCAAAATGTTAGAGTTGAATCTAATTGAAATGCTACATTTAGTAGGAAAATCAGCAAATAACAAAGGAAGCATAACTTCAAGGTAACATTATTTGTCAGTAAAACCAGTAGAGGTCCCAGATACTCCAAGGCAGGAGACCAGTTAGGCAGACCATTAGAGTCATTGCAGTCCTTGACCAAGGCCAGCCCATTAAGCATACATATGATAGACTGATCAATAGACTTGTATCAAAGAGCATTTCTATTTCTTTGTACAGTACTTTTTTGGATATGCAAAGAAAACATCATTCCAAGAACATAGCCATACACACACCTTCCCAAATACACACAGTTCCATCTAAAATAGRTCATAGTTATATGAACTAATGACACGTTGTCATTAAAGGATATTCAGARTCAATCGGGTTGTTCAGTTCATCTTGTTCAGGAGGACAGTTATTCCCTTTAGGATGGGGTGTTTGACAGTTGTGGCTACTAAATTTATATAAAATATGATGTTTTGAAATTACTTGGTGGACTAGGTTTTCCAACAAGTCTTAYTTTGAACAGGTAATAAAATTTTTAAACAGTTATTAATTACCATATCAAATTGTCAATAAGAAAGTCAAGGAGGGACAAAATGCAAACTTTGCATACATAGATTTTCCCAGCGCTTTTGGTTGCTTTTAAAAAAGTATCACATTTCACTGGAGCAGTGCACAGGAAAGGACCTTGAAAAGGTCTTTAAGACCAATCCTCCATCAGATGTTGGAATTTCCTCATCAAATTCATTTCTTTGCCTATACAAAATTACTAACTTTAAAACAGAAAAACAGAAGCAGGAATTCAAACACCAAAAAAAACAAAGAAAGTGTAAAAATTATATAACATTTTCAAGAGCAATTTTTATCTTTTCTTCAAGACCAACCTCTGAAGCTACAGTCTTGGGGACAAGACCTCCAGGTGAACAAGGTAAATACAATCCTGGTACAATTCTTAAGTTTCAAGAAAGTAGACTGAACATTAAACCCACTGGGTAACACTTCYTTTGCCAGCCTAAAACTTAAAACCTAGTTTAAATCCATAATATATATTCCTTCTTCACCAACCCCCCCCACTTGAAAACACTAAAATAGTAATTAATTTTCAAGCATATATATACACATATGATTCATGAATCGACTGCAGTATATAACTCACAAAACCGATGAAATAAGTATCAGTATTGCCTGCATAAATTATGTACACCTCTCTTGAAAACAGTGATTCCCAAACTTCCCAAATGGATGAAAGACAGCAAGCTAGTCCTTAGCAGGCTTGTTAAATGGTCTGTACTACTTTCCTCTCTAAACACCTACAAATTAATAAGGTCTTCCTTGTCTCCCTATCTGAGATTTAACTTTCACAGGAACGTGGATGGGGCTATCTCGGCTATCAGAATTATTAGGCCAAAAAAAAAAAAATCAGCACCTGTGGTCATCTGAGTAGTGCCCTTCAGGGCAAGTGATAGTATGCTAAATCTCGCCTGAGGTCTGCTGTGGACCTGCCTTGGGTTTGAGGAAGCCTCAAATGGCACCTGCTGCAGTGGAAAAGGGCCTGCTCCTGGTCATATCCCCCTCTACTTCTCTTTTCTGCTTCCTATGGCTCAAGAACAAACTAAACTCCCACTGCTATAATGGGAGGGCCATCCAGCTGCTTTGAGGTCAATGCTTTATGCTTAATTTCTATTGCTGCTTTTGAATAGAAACCCTTTCCCCTCCCAGATGTTTCTGGTGATGGGAGGGAAGAAAAGTAAGGGGTTCTCTTGTTGCTGCCATATGCATATGAACATTTATAAAAAGTGGTCAAACCCAGATGAGGGTCCTACTTCTGGTTTATATACAATAATTTAGTCAGCTGTATGTATTTAATACCTAAAAAAATTAATTSACAATCAAAGTCCTTCATGCATTTTATGAGGAAGTTCTGGATTAAAATGATGATCAACCAGATGTTGCTTTTGCCTGGGAAGATAGTATCGTCATTTTCTGCTGTAGAGTCATCAGTGCCTGTGGTCCACACTTCCTTAAATTTTTAGCTTCTTTGTTGTCTCAAGTCTTTTTTTCAGCAGATCCCCCATTTCCAGAAGTGAGTGTAGGTAACTGCTCTGCACTTTCCCTTGCACAGTCTTTGAAAATTTTCTTTCTTCCTACAAAGAAAGAGAAAACTAAGTGGTTTTGCTCAAAAATGATTCTCCTAGATTAGAGTTACTCAGATAAAAGTTAAAACTACCATTACCTCAATGCAAGCTCCATCAGAACGGAGTGAGTCATTTTCAGTATTAAAATGCAAAGGCTAAAAGCTAATCACAGGTATTTTTCAATGTGGTTTTTCACTAAGACCCTGTTGCTTCAGAAAAGCATTCTATCCAGCACCTTTGTTACAAGTTATATAAAGTAGGAAAGCAAATATCTTACAGGTAGCTTTTCATCAAGAAAAAAGGTGGGGACTGGGGTTATGGCTCAGTGGTAGAGCACTTGGCTAGCATGTGTGAGGCCCTGGGTTTGAGTCTCAGCACTACATAAGAATAAATACATAAAGGTTCATTTACAACTAAAATAAAATACATATTTTTAAAAATTCAAACACCAAAAACAGTTATCAAAGAAAGTGTAAAAATTGTATAACATTTTCAAGAGCAATTTTTATCTTTTCTTCAAGAGCAACCTCTGAAGCTATGTTCTTGGGGATAAGACCTCCAGGTGAACAACCATCCTAAAAAAAAAATGCAGTTATCTTTAAAAAAAAAAGGTGGTAAATGATTACTAAGTAGTTTGCACATAAAATTATTACTATTTTGTTATTAGCTACACAAAGTGTAAAATTAGAGATGTCTGATTTTTTTGTTTTACCTCAAAATAGACATCATCATAGCCACTACTGAAGGGTCTCAGCTTTACCAACTCTTATCTTTTCCAGTTACAATACTAACAAGCCTCCCTCTACACTGACAGAGTCTGTAAGTACAAGACACCAAATGATAAAAGACAGAGCTTTCTTAGGCCTTCTGAAATGTACGAGTTAAATAATTGCAGCCACATATTTACTGTGGTAGAGACCACCAAAAAAAAAAAAAAAAAAAAGGGAAGGAGTATTCACAAACAGAAATGAAGATGGCTGAGGACTGGGTATGTTTAAATAAAGTTGGCAGAGTTGCAAAGCCCAGGACTACAGAAGAAAGCAGGTAACATTTTCTGACCCATGAATACTGCGATTTAAGATCTTATCTAGGGGCTGGAGTTGTGGCTCAGTGTTAGACTACTTGCCTAGCACACATGAGGCACTGGGTTCAATCCTCAGTACCCATAAAAGATTTGATTTTCATTTAGTATATATATTTAAAAGCAAATAAATTCGGTCCTACATATTCATGGGTTCTGCACCCACTTATTCAACCAACTGCATATCCAAACTATTCAGAGAAAAAAAATTCAGTCTGTATATATAGAACATGCTAAGGCGTTTTTCTTGTCACTAATATCAAAACAGTATAACAACTGTTTACATAGCATGTATATTATATTAAGTATGTAAATAATCTGGAGATAATTTAAAACATTCAGGAAGATGTGTTAGGTTCGATGCAAATACTGCACAATATTCTATAAGGGCCTTAATCCCCCATGAAATTTGAGTATCCTCAGTGTATGTGTGCATTCATGCATGTGTTCTGGGGGGAAAAAATCCCACACGGATACTGAGGAGTGGCTGTATAAAGAAACATTCTGCTGGGTGCAATGATGTAGCTATATCCCAGCTACTTGGGAGGCTGAAGCAGGAAGATCTCAAGTTTGAAGCCAGCTTGGGCAACTTAGCCAGATCCTGTCTCAGAATAAAAAAGGGCTGGGGATGTAACTCAATAGTAGGTAGAGTATCTCTGGATTCAATCCTCCAAATCAGAAAATATAGGGGCAGGTGATGTGTTTAGCTCAGTGGTAATGTGTCCTTGATTTCAAACCCCAGAACCCTCCCAACACACAAGAAACAAGCTAAAATGACCAATGACGGTGGTGCATCTTTATTTTGAATAATATACAGCTAAAATGAACAAGATTTGTCTATATAAGTTTTCCCAAGGAAATTCTGTGTGTAT